CCTGCCACTCCTGGGCCCTGGACCAGCCTCTTGGCCGGTCTCCCTGCCTCCAGCCCTCCCTTCATGCTGAGTTGTAACTTCCCCTCATCTTCACCATCAAGTCCAGACCACGCACTCTGGCCTGCCAGGTAAAAGCTAACTGCAGACTCAGCTGGCTGCTCTTACCCCCCACCCCTCCCCTACCCCGGCTGCCTGCCCTGCTCTTCACTCCCAGTTCAATGCTCTCAGCATCTCCTGGACAGAGCCCACACCCTCCTCCATCACATGAGGCCCAGCGCACCCACCTCCTCCGTGTACCCCCACTCTCATTTCCCCCTCTTTGTGATCCCCAGCATTCACCGTCTGCCCCGTGCTCTTGGCGTTGGGATTCTGCTCTAAGTTGCCAGGCAAGTGAGATAACTTCTGGGAAGCAGCTAGCTTGGTGCTGGGCACACGGCAGGTGCTCAGTAATTACGTCCTAGATGATGGGTTCGGTTATCCCTTTATCTGATGGGTATAAATTAGGTGTGTGAGCCATATACAAATATGCCTCTTTGATCACGCCTATTTCATGCGCTGCCGCTCTCCTGCCTCAGAAAGACGACACTCTGCGAGTTTGATTGATCTGCATGTTAGTTAATGAGTCATTATAGGATCCTGTCTTTAAACAAAGGCCAAAGAAGAGGAGAAAAAAAAAATGAAAGCATCAGTACATTGTGCACTGGGGGCTGTCCCAACACTGCAATGTTAGTCTGTTGTACGGTCTACTTGGTGTAATTAGCTCCTGCGTTAGGGTCAGATGCTCTAAAATGCAGTTCACATCAATGGCTGCTCTAACCAGTGATGTGAATCGTTTTATGGCTCTGGGTTCTGGCCTTCAAAGCAGTATTTTCCCATTATAGACATAATAATCCTACACTCCCTCTTTTGGAGGTGGCTTGGTGAGCCAGTGTCCTCTGCCCCGAGGCTGGCTGGAAGGGGGTGATGGGCGAGAGTGTGCGTCCGGGGCCATCACTCCCTGCAGAGGCCGGGCCCCTCCCCCTGCAGAAGGCACTGCGGCCTTGCCGGATTTTATACGCAGCAAGCATTTGCCAAGCTGCTTGGATTCAGCAAAAGAGCTGAGGGAAGATTTGGGAGGGTCAGTCATGGTGGCTACCCAGTGGACCTGAGACCCCGCTGGGGCAGCTGTGAGGCAGTGAGTGGCAGAGCCTGGCCTCTGGCTGCCTGGTGAGGTCCAGTTCTACCACTCAGCTGTGTGATCTTAGGCAAGTTGCCTAACATCTCTGTGCCTCCATTTTACGAATGGCTTTTCCATTCGTAAAATGGAGGTATTCATGGGAGCGGTTGTTGTGAGTTTCCCTGAACTGATGTGTCCTAACTGCTCCAAACAGTGTCGAGCACATGGTAAGAGGTCCGTGCTTGCAATGAAGAAATCTCGTAAGAGAAGATGATCAAAAACTGTGATTAGGTGTCTCAAAGAATCTCCTCCACCGGGGGTCGGCAGACTCACCCCTGTGAGCCCAAATCAGCTCATTGCTTGATTTTGTAAATCACGTGCATACTGTCTCTGGCTACGTTCATGCTACAGAAGCAGAGGTGGGTAGTTGTGAGAGACATCCTATGGTCTGCACAAGGCGAAACAGTTACTCTCTGGCCCTTTACAGAAATGGTTTGCCAGCCTTATGTTCTAGACAGTAACTCCAGTGGGGGAACCGAGGGCCTAGCCATTGGTCCGTGCTAGAGAACCAGGAAGGGTTTAGAAAACGTTGTCTGGTTCAGCACTGTCTGAGCCTCTGGCCTGTGCCTGGTACAGCGACAGGCAGGGGCATCAGAGACAGGGAGACCTGGCCCCTGCCCACCCCCTGCCCCCGGAAGTTCCCAGTGTAGTGGAGGAGCAGGTAAACAGATCAGTGCCAGTGCCGCAGGTAAGTGCGGACCCAGAGGTGAGGAAGGGTATGGGAGCACCTGGAAAAGACAGGCCTCAGGGAGGAGACATTGCTAGCGGAGCCAGCAGGGAAGGAGGGGTCTGTGCCAACCAGAGTCGTGAACGGGCCAATATGAGGGGATGCCCAGGAGCTCAGGGAGACACACAGGCTTGCAATGGGGAGGGCCGCAGGGAGCAGATGCCCCGGGTCCCTCGGTGTGCACCTGGCTGGGAAATGGTGACATCAGGACAGGACCAGGGAGGCTGAGAGGGGAAGGAGATTCCGGGCCAAGCGGATAGTCCCGTGATGGTGCCATTGGCCATCAGGGAGCGTGAGGGGTGAGCGGGCCTGGCAATGGGACAGTCAGAGGGGCGAAGGCATCCCCACTCACTGCCGACCATTCCATGCCATCCCTCCTTCTGAGCGCACCCCAGCCGCTGCCTGCTGCAGGCCCACCTTCCCCCTCCCCCACGTGACTGCCACAGCCCAGAGATGGCTCTCCTGGTTTCCCACCATCCCTCAGTGCTGTTGCTCTGAAAACAAAAATCGCACGTCACACCTTTGCTCATGACCCTTCCATCACTTCCCCTTGTCTTTAGGGCAAAGCCCAAATCATGACCGACAGCAGGACAGACAGCCTTTCCTGCTCTACTCCTCCCACTTCCTCCCAGCACCAGCCTCCCCTCCCCTCTTCATTCAACCACTGCAGATCCGTTAGGAGTCTCTGATGAGTCTCGTGTCCCACACCTTTGCCCATTCACCTGCCCCTCCCTCTCTCGACGGCTCTCCCTCCCTTACTCATTTAGCTAACTCGGGTTCATCTCCCAAACTCAGCCCCGGCTTCATTTCCTCTGGGAAGCGTCCTTTAACATTTCTTCTGGCCTCCACTTTCCCGTTCTGTGCTCATGGGTGTTCTTATATAGAGATGCTCCTCTCTGAGAACGCCATGCCCAGTGTGGAGGGGCCCTCGGACATGGCAGCCGGGCTGATGAATCAGTGTGGCAGCAGGTGGCTCCTGAGGTCCCTGAAGGCACCGGGGAGTGAGGCTGTGCCAGCACCCTGCCAGTATGTGGGTTCGCACAGAGGAGACCTGCACAACGAGGAAAAACCATCCATGGAATTCCCTACTCCTTGAGTCGTAGAATAGAACACAAAGGAACACCTCCAGCCTCCCCACTGGGGGAGATGGAAGATCTTCATCACACTGGAACCGCAGATGAATGGGTAAAGAAGATGTGGGAGATATCTACAATGGAATATTACTCATCCCTTAAAAAGAATGAGATCTTGCCATTTGCAAGGATGTGGATGGAGCTAGAGAGTATCCTGCTGAGCAAACCAAGTCAGTCAGAGAAAGACTAATACCATATGATTTCACTCATACATGGAATTTAAGAAACAAAACAAATGATCATAGGGGAAAAAAAGAGAAAGGCAAACCAAGAAACAGACTCTTAACTCTAGAGAACAGCCTGATGGTTCCCAGAGGGGACGGAGATGGGGGAGGGGGGAACAGGGGATGGGATTGAGGAGCGCGCTTGCTGTGATGAGCACTGGGTACGGTATGGAAGTGTGGTATCACTGTATTTTACCCCTGAAACTAATATTACACTGTATGTTAACTAACTAGAATTTAAATAAAAACTTTTTTAAAAAAACGAAACAGACAAAAAGAGGCCCAGATTAGCCATTAGGAGTGGTGCTCCCTGTGTCCCATCTTTGTTCATGGCACCACCTCCCACCCGTCCAGGGACCCCCACAGGTCATCCTGAATCCCTCCGTCTCCCTTGGTTCCCACACCCATGCAGTCACAAAGCCCTAAATACTGCTAAGACCTGTCTCTCTTCTCCATCCCCACCGCCCTCCTCCATCATTCACCTGGACGGGAACCCTCCCCACCACCTCTGGCCTCGCTCCTGCCACATCTGTTTCTACACAAGCTGCCAGACTGACGTTTTTCTCAAACACCAATGTGCCCCTGTCTCCCGCTGTTTAAAGCTTTTCTTATCCACCCCCCCCCCCCCAGAATAAACCCCAGCTCTTCGGGCCAGAGGAGATTTTAAAACCCTTTGGACTTAGCGCCAGGCAAATTTCTCAAGTTCTGGACCTTCCTGAGTCCCCTCCTTGCACTGAAGGCCCAGCCATATTGTGCCCCAGAGTGAAACAGCCAGCAGCTGTGCTCACTTTGCAGACCTTCCATTGACCAGGCAGTGAACACTTGTTCTGGAATGTCCCATCTCTGCCGAAACTCGGGCCCTGTGCATCTGACTCCTCAGGATGGCCCCCTCCATCCCCCAGCATCCCCCTGTGGCCTGACTGTCTTCCTCAGCCTTCAGAACCCTCAGACAGCACCCTCACGGACAGACCTCCTCCAGCCCCCACCGCAGGCTCCATGAGCCCCAGGCTTCTCTGTGCACCTACAGCCCTCATTGGAACACCTGCCACCTGGCAGGGGCTTGGTGGTTCTCGGCTTCCGTTCTGTCACCAAGGGCAGGGACCATGCTCACTGTTGAAACCCCACCTCCTAAGTTTGGCACATGGTGTGTGCTTAGTAAATATTGTGTAAGGCAGGACTAACACAAATTAAGAGAAAAGAATCTTGTTGAAACCTCTCTGGAACATTCATTTATTCAACGAATAAACAAAAGAGGATAGAGAAAAGCAGGCAGAGGAGAGGCTAAGAGAAACTTCTGCAAGTCCCCGGGGGCCGGCAAGATGGCTGAGATTCCACACGTGGCTTGAAAAATTGCCACCAAGTCCATGGGGACTTCTGTGCATTAAAGCATGAAGAGAGAATCTAATCTTCTCACAGCCTGCCAGATGTGCCTGATGTTGCCATGGCAGCCCCCAGAATTGGCCAGATGTGCTGTGAACATCTCTGGAAAACATCAGGGGACCCCAGAGGCTGTAAAGCCTGGAGAGAAATAGTTGAAACTCCAAAAGGTGGTGTGGAAATGCTCCGTTTGGATCAGGGGCTGTGTGAGGTGGTGTCCCAGGGACTCTGGGCATCGGGACCTAATGAGGGAACTTCTCAGAGCTGTACGAGTGTCTCCCAGAAGCCCCTGCCTGCTCCCTAACCCAGTGCTCCCTCCCCAGGTGATCAAGCTGGCCTTTGAGGACTTTGACTTGGAGAGGGGCTACGACACCCTGACGGTCGGGGACGGCGGGCAGGACGGAGACCAGAAAACCGTTCTCTATGTGTAAGTGAAGCAGGGCTGTGGTCCGGAGGGCAGGAAGCACATGATCCTGGCCTGGGGGTGGTGGGATGGTGCGCTGCGTCCTGTCTGGTCCCCAGGGCCACGCTGCATCAAGCACAGGGGACCAGCCCCTCTCCTCTGACTGAAGGAAACAGAACACTGGCCACATTCTCTCTAGGAGCTCCCAGGAAGAGTGGGCAGAAGGAACAGTTTCTCAGGGAGGAGGGGGAATTGAGGTCCTGGGTGTGCACCTGGAGCATTCTACATGGTGGGATGCTTCTGCTTGGCCCTTGCTTCTGCCACCCACGGGTTTCTCCTCAAGGCCATGTCCATCCATGGCAGTCTGACTTCAGACAGAGACAGTGGAAGTGTGGTTGCTGACCTCCCTGCAAGCTCAGAACTATCTGGGAAATGAATAGTGTCAGGGATTTGGGACCCTGTACACACGGTGGCCACAATTCCTGAGCCAAGAAAGGCTCACATGGTCTAGACAAGGGAGAGGATAATGCCGCATTGTCCTGGGATTCCATTCTGTTGGATCTTCCTTTGCCCTCCACCATTAGCCTGACATAAACACAGGAGAACACTTCTGTGCATGTGGCCCGGCACAGATGGCCTGATCTCTCTCATCTCCTTTGCCCAGATAGGGGGGTGGGGGTGGGAAAGTTTTCCTATACACTGAACATCCATTGTGTGCCCAGGCACTGGGAGGGGAAGTTTCACATCAGATATCTCATTTAGTTGTATTGCTATCCCCATTTAACAGGTGGGGAAACTGAGTCCCAAAGGTTGCAAAGCTGGTTGGTGGCAGAACCAGCACTTGAGTTCATGCCTTTTAACTTCAGTCCAGGACAGCATCCCGTGCCATACCCCTTCCCCACCAGGCTAGCCCCAGGCCAATGCCCTCTGGTTTTCATGCTGAAGGAGAAATAGCTCTTCAGTCCTAGCTGCCTTGTGCAGGAGCTGTTCTGCTCTGGGCACTTCCCACACCTTCCCCACACCTGCCAGAGAAGATCCTTTCAGGGCAGTTAAAGGACTCACAACGTTACCCTCAGAGTCAGGTGACATGGCTGGTACTTGGAATCTCCTAGGAGAAAGGAATGGGATGTGAGCCTGAAGGGTATCCTCCCCCCACCTATTCCACTGTATTAATCAGGATTCTCCAGAGAAACAGAACAATAGGATAGACACAGAGAGCCAGGGATTTATTATAAGGAATCGGTTCACATGATAATGGAGACTGACAAGCCCCACGATTTGCAGGGTGGGCTGGCAAGCTGGGACCCAGGAGAGCGGATGATGGCCTTTTAGCCCAAAGGCCAGCAGGCTCTAGACCCAGGAAGAGGTGATGTTTCCGTTCAAGTCCAAGGCAGGAAAAAGGAAAAAAAAAAAAAAAAAGGAAACATCCCAGATGGAAGGCAGGCAGGCAGGAAGAATTCTCTTTTACTTGGGAGAGGGCTAGCCTTTTTGTTCCATGCAGGCCTTCAACTGATTAGATGAGGCCCATCCATATGGGGAAGGGCAATCTGCTTTATTCAGGCTACCAATTTAAATGTTAAAGTCCTCCAAAGGCATCTTCACAGAAACAGTCAGAATAATGTTTGGCCAGATATCTGGATACTCCATGGCCCAGGCAAATTGACACATAAAATTAGCCATCGTACTCACTTTCTCCTCTGGCTCATCCCCATCACTCATCTGCCCTGTATGGTGCTCAGAAGGCCAGGGTCCTGGTTCTGTCTCCTCCCAGGACAAAATCCTAGTGAGCTCTGTCAGAGAGAGAACCTTAGAACAGCAGAGCCAGAAAGATTCTTACAACCCAATCCCCTCATTTAACACTAAATGAAAAATCCCAGAGTGGCTCAGCCACTTGCCCAGGGCCCCACAGCAAATGAATGACAGCTCCAGGGCTTACACTCAGGTCTCTGTAAGTTTTGAGTGAGCTCCCAACGAGTTCTATAACAGCCCAGGGGCTCTCCCACCACCCTCAGATCTCTGTAGGCCAGCATCCATCTCAAACTTTAGGGAAACACATGGCAAAATTGTCGGACTCCTTTGTTGTCAGAATTGGGTCAGATGGACTCTGCCACCCTAGAGTTAGGAGCCAGCCCTGGCTTGGCCTCAATCCTTACTCACTACAGAATGCCAGCAGCCTAGCCCTGCGATGTCACACGGGCCAGGCCGATGTGCCCCAGGTGTCTATCCCAGCCCCACCCCCACAGCACTCACACTGTGCTGCTCATCTCATACAGCCAACTCAGTGCCCCCCGCAAGCTTTGAGACCCCAGAATGGAGCAGAGATTAAGACCCATGAATCCAATCACACCTTCCACCACCGCCCCCTGGTCTGTGCTGGTGATCTGTCTGGTCTCAGCAGCAAGAGGAAGCCAGGTTCCTTCTGGAAAGCCCAGCCTCTGCTGTGGACTCTGGCTCCGCCACTCTCCATCAGGCTGACCTTGGGAAAGCGACTGCCCATTTTGCACCCTTATCTTCTCATCCATACGGTGGGGATAACACAACCCCTACCTCACTGGGCTACTGGGGTCATTAAATAAGAGAATGGAAGGAAAATTGTCTGGCTTGGATAGGTATTTGGTTAATGTGAGTTGAATCCTCCCCATGCTTAAACTCTGTTCTTCAGAAAGAATGTGGCCCCGGAGTGACAGGTGCACTTTAAGCCTTGCTTCATATATGGAAGCAGATATTTCCATATGGCACGGAAAGAGATGTCTCATTAAAAGGAATGGCTGGGCTCAATTAGGGAAATGGGTTTCTGTCTGTGTCTTTTCTGCAGTAGTTCATGTGAGAAATCAAAGGTGGAAGGAGTGTAGACACCCCTGCAGTAGATCTGGCTACACCTAACCCTGGCCCCTGAGAAAGCAAGGACACAGGTCTCCCTCACGAGCCCAGGGGTCTGGGCTAAGGGGTCACGGGTAAACACAAGCCGTGGCCGGAGGGGAGAGGTGGTGAGTGTCCCAGCCGCTGGATCACATGCCTCTGGGCTCCAGTGTTAAACACCATGGGCCCCGAATTTGCCTGACTGGGTAGAGCTCCTAGTCATTCTGTGGGGTGCCAGAGTGGGGGGCACATCTCTAAATCTCACTCTCCTGACAGCCTGACAGGTACGTCGGTCCCAGATCTCATTGTCAGCACCAACCACCAAATGTGGCTCTTGTTCCAAACCGATAGCAGCGGCAGCTCCCTGGGATTCAAGGCTTCTTATGAAGGTAACTGCTGTTGGGGGGCTTATCCACTCACTCTGCAGTCAGACTTGGGGTCCGGATGTGGAGTCAGCAAGCCCTGGGTTCGAATTCTGATTGTGTCCCGCACTAGCTTCCTCTCCTTAGGCATATTATTCGACCTGTCTGAGCCTCAGCTTTCTTTGGCCAGTGGGTCTCCTGGATTGTTTTGAGGATTATCTGGGATAAACCACTTGAGGCACAGGTCACACAGCACTAAGGGCGTACATTCGTTGCAGCTGCAATTCATACCTGGCTTGTGTAGACTTTTAAAAGACCCTATAGACTTTTGGAGCTTCCCAAGCTGCCATACTTGGATGTCATGTAGTGCTGAGTGACTGTGCATGGGGCTAGGGACAGACATACACCAGTGGTGGCCTGAGGAGGATACAGATGAGGGTAACTTGAATCTCACTGGGAACGAGCATTAAGGGAACAGTGAACTCTGGGTCCAGGAGCTACCACCACCATCATCAGCCTTCTGTGTGCTTCCAGATTTCCCATTGGTGATGACTGCTAATGCCAATCCCCATAGAAAGGGGAGCAGAAGCCATCCCCCGAGCATTTGGTTGGCAGATTTGGTAGGTGGCAGAGCTTAGCCCAGCACTCAGGGAACAGATGCATCAGATCTGAGCCCTTGCAAGGGGTCTGCACTCCAGGGGTGAGACAGAGGAGGAAACACACGAGCTATTATTAAAGCAAGATATCTGTGGCCAACAGCCAGTGGGAGCATGGAGAAGGGGGTGGTCATCCCGTGTGCGGCATCTAGAAAGGCTCTATCGAGAAAGTGAGCCCTGGGTCTTGAAAATGACTCAGAGAGACAGGGGGCAGGGGATGAGAGAGAGAAGGTCTTTCTCCACCCCCGTTCAGAGACCTGATAACTCTACATGAGGTGAGTTGGGGGGCGGGGAGCAACTCCAAAAGGCTCTTATTCTGCTCAGTGTGACCCCCGCCCCCAGGGACCAGGAGTTCTTCCTGTACCAGGACCTGTATCTGTCTCCAAGCTGGGTACACAGGAGGCCTGTCAGTTTCCTCCAGCTGCTTTGACAAAGGACCGCACACTGGGGGGCTTAAAACAACAGAAACCTCTTCTCCCCAGGTTCTGGAGGCTAGGACAGCGTAGGTCCTGTTCTAAGAACAAGAAGCACATGTCGAGGGGAGACAGAATAGCAGCCAGAGAGGACCGATGGGATGACAAGTGCTGAGTTCACATCCTGGTTCTGTCCCTCTCTAGCCCCATGCCAGGTCAGGGAACCCCCTTGGGGCTCTGTTTCTTCATCTGGGACATGGAGGTAATAATACACCCTAGGTCCCAGGGCTTCTGTGAAGAGTAACTGTGGTCAAGGATGTGAAAATAAGAATTGCACTGCAATTACGGGTGACTAATGAGTGAGGACACAGGTAGTTAAGCAAATGGCTCTTCGGGTACATCAGAGTTACACACAGCTGGGGGGCGGCAGAGAGAAATCAGGAGACCCCAACTCAGGGCCAAGCTCTAACACTCACTACTTGGAAAAATGGGAATGGATTTGGACTCAGAATTTCAAGTTTCCCCCATGTCTGAAGTTCTCTGGATGTTCAGCAGGGAACATTTCCAGAAGTGGGGAGGAATGATCCTGTGTGCCACCCACCTGCCCTTAATCTGTCCATATTTTATCAATGGTATGGATAAGCCATAAATAGCATAAGCCAGAAAGGGACGACAGTCAGCAGTCAGCAAACAAATGTGCAGAAAGACCTCGACGGGGTAGAGCTACTGGCTAAGTCACCAGGATAAGAGGAAGTGGGAATAAATAGCAAGTCCTCTGTGAGGGTTCGAAAACTTAGCAACTAGAATTTACCCCAGGGAGTTAGTGATGCTTGATTCTCGGGCATCAAGAGTTGGGCTTAATTGTGGGGATAGGCAGGGAGAGGGCTGAAGTCAAACCCTGTGAGAAAGGTTAAGAGCCCCCTGAAAGTGCATTCGGGAGAAGAGTGGACTCAGGGGAGAGCTGAGAGCTGTGTCTAAATATCTGAAGGGCTGTCATGTAGGAAAGAGGAATTAGATTTGTTTGGCATGGTTTCACCGGAAAAGAAAGGGACAGAACATTGAATGCCCATTATGTGCCGGAAGCTTTATGCTAATTTTCTCAAGGTTTTCAACAGTGTCACGCAAACATTTGGGGCACCCTCAGGGACCACCAAAGTTGGGTAAGGGTTGCCTAGCAGGGCAGGCTCTGATCCTGCCTTCTCCTTTCTTCTCTTCTGTTCCTTGTAAGCCTTCTTTTAAGAGGGGATTTGTAGCTACACACCAGTCTGAGAAACTCTGCCTCATCTCATTCAGTGTGACAGCTAGCCGATGGCTGCTCTTTTGTACCTGAGGAATCTGAAACTCAGAAGGGTGGAGTGTCCTGCCTGGGTCACATGGAGTCTGGGACCTGGAAGAGCCGAGATTCAACTCCATGTCTTGCTGGCTTCAAAGCCCATGATGTTTCCCCCCTCTACCAGGGGTCACCAAAGTGACAGAATTTCAATTCCTTATAAAATCTCTTAGAAGCCAACACCTTGCCCCAGTCCCATGAGCCATATGGCATGAGCCCGGGCTCCTCGTTACTAGCAGTTGTGGTTTTGTTCATCAGCCCATGTGTCTACCTCGCCCAGCCAGTAGTGATGACCCTGTCACATGACCAGCATGATGCTGGGGGCTGGGATTACAGCAGGGAGCCACACGGACTAGAACAGAAAACTAAAGCAGTCGAAAAACATCCACGGTGGGACTGCTGGTCACAGATTAGGGAAGTCCTCCTCGGACTCGTGACAGATGAGGAAGAGAGTCTGGGCATGTCTGTACATCGTTAATCCAACAGTCCAAGTGGGTCCTGCTCACAGAGGCATCTGTTTCTGTGAAGATGGAATGGACTCTGGAATTGGACCAGACCTGGTGAATCCCAGCATGGTCCCAGCTGTGGGACTGGCCAAGTCCTGTGGTCTGTCGGAGCCTCAATCTCCCACTCATAAAACGGAAAGAATAGTGGTGACTCCTTGCACAGTCCTGGCTCAGAGAGGTGTCTTCCCTGGGGGCCACTGAGGTTCCTCTGCACCCAAGCCCTCGGTGATCAGCACTGTTCCCCACTCCGGAGCGTGTCCCCTTCTGCCAGGGAACAGAGCCCCTTGCCTGTCCTGCGGGTGGCCTGGCGCTACGTCCCTGCCTCCCACCTGCACTCCGCATCCAGGGCTCCCACTCCTCAGACCGGCTGGGAAATGAGACGGTTCGCTCTGGCCGCAGTGTAGGGAGGGGAGGCAAAAGTGGTAGGAGGCAGATCCAAGTCACTGAGAGACTTGGCCTCAGAAAGAGTTTGCACTTCGTCCACAGGGAAGAAGAACCTGTGGAAGTTTAAATGTAGGGATGGGCCTGCCCTTCCACCTTGGACCTTTTATTTGACGGTAAAAGCCATCCGTCTCTTGCCTTCACGGTGAAGAGCCCCCTCTACCATGAATAAAGCTGGGTCGGTTAAGTCCCCTGGTATCCTGATGTGACTTCCCATCCTGCTCTCTGGGCTTCTGTCACCTGCAGCCTCCTGATCATCTGCCACCCCTCTGGCTGCTCCCTCAGGGCTTCTGCACGGCCCCTCACGACCCCCACAGAGCAGGCACTTCCCCAGGGTCTCTCCTCAGCTTTCCGTCCTCTTTTTCAGGATTGCATCTACTCCCATGGCTTCCAGCTCAATCTAAACACTGGTGACTTCCAAATCTGTTCCCCATTTGCATATCGGTCTCCCTGTGACACATTTTATACACTTCTCCTTCAGACACCTCAAACCCAAGGCATGTGTGCTAGTCTGCACAGGCGGACATAACCAAATACCATAGGCTAGGAGCTGAAACAGAAGTTTATTTTGTCACAGTTCTGAAGGCTAGAAATCCAAGATCAAGGTTCTGGCTGATTCAGTCTCTAGTCTGGGCGACCTTGTCACTGTGTCCTCACCTGGCCTTTCCTTGGTGCTTGCACAGGGAGAGAGGGAAGGAGCACAAGCTCTCTGGTGTCACTTCTTATAAGGACACTAATCCTATTGGATATGGACCCCACCCCTATGGTCTCATTTAGCGTTTATTACTTCCTTAGAGGCCCCATCTCCAAATCCAGCACCTTTGAGGTTAGGACTTCACCATATGAATTTGGGGAGGCACCAACACTCAGTCTATTAACACCATCCAAACTGAGCTCCATTTATGGTAGCTTTATTCACAGTAGAGGGGGCTCTTCACCGTGAAGGCAAGAGACGGATGGCTTTTACCGTCAAATAAAAGGTCCAAGGTGGAAGGGCAGGCCCATCCCTACATTTAAACTTCCACAGGTTCTTCTTCCCTGTGGACGAAGTGCAAACTCTTTCTGAGGCCAAGTCTCTCAGTGACTTGGATCCGCCTCCAACCACTTTTGCCTCCCCTCCCTACACTGAGGCCAGAGCGAACCGTCTCGTTTATGGTAATTCCAAGCCATGTTCCAGCTCCTGAGAACCCATTCTAGGCAGAAATACAGCTCTTCAGGCCTGCAGGACTGAGCCCAGTGCCTGGCACATGGCGTGTGCTCAGAAAAGCTCTCAGATTAAGTTGTGATGACTTTCTACACAAGCACAATCAAGCACCCTTCCTCCACACCCTCTCAGCTTCCCACACTCTAAGGCAAGAGCCAGGCAAGAGCCAGACAGACCCAGTTTGTAATCGAGTTCTCCCATTGGCTCTGTGTGTGGTCTTAGCCAGTCCCTCCACATCTTTGAACCTGGGTATTCTCACCTGTGAAGAGGGGCTGATAAACACTGATCTCACAGGGGTCTTCCGAGGGCTCAGTGTTGTGAACCTCCCAACACAGGGCCGGCATTTAGGAAACACTCAGTTAAAAGCCCGCTCCCTACCCTGCTTCCCTAGGCCTGCAGCTCCTCTCCCAACCTGCACCCGTGGCCCAAAGCTTTAGAACAAACTCCATCTCCACTCTAGTCCTCCTTTTATCCAGC